AAATAAAAATATATATATATATATATATTAAATATAATTAAATGGAAGTTATAATTATATTTTCTATTCTTTGAGGTCATTTAATAATCTATATTCACTGAATTCATATTTTCAATGATTATTAGTGTTAATAATTATTATTCTATTTCACCACTTTGACTACAAGTGTGAATTAATATTCAGGCAATTTTTTTCACACACACACACACAAAACCTCAGAGGGAATTTATTTGTGACTTCGCCCGATATTCGGAATAATACAATTTGATAATACACTTCGATTTTGATAGAATTTTAGAAACATTCCTATCAGCAACGATTTGTAATATGTATATCATTCCCAGGGAAGGGTCCGAAAGATTACAATCGTATTTACGATGATATAAAAGGGATTACAGTAGTAGGGAGGGGAAGAAGGGATCCTGGAAATACAGAGGGCCTTTATGAAAGCCTGTTGTAAAATACATATTACTTATAGTAGCTCACGAAAGTATTCGAATACCTTTTAAAACGCAATAACTTTTTCAAACTGTACTAAATGACTTGAACTTATTTTTAGATGATAGAGGGACTAATCCACGAGACAATAACTGAAATGCATTTTCTTAATTTTGCTCTTACATGGAATGACAAAAAAAAGTAAAAAAACTCTTGATTTTTAACTTTTTTATACGAGCTTATAACAAACATTTAGAAACTGCCTTACCAAGATCTCGATAATTCATGTGCATGCTGAAAACTTTGTCGAAATCGGTTAACTCAGAGTCAAGCTACAGGCGTTGAAATATTTCAAAAACTGCAGATTTCTTATAGCTTTTAGTCAAAAGTGACAAAAATCGGGGCAAAAGTGCGATCTTAGCGATCTTTAATTATTTGTAAGTCGTAGCAACGTCGATCAATTTCGATAAAATTTTCAGCACGCATATAAGCAACCGAGATATACGAACGGCATTTTTTAAATTTTTGTTACAGGCTCAGATAAAAAAGTTAAAAAACAAGAGTTTGTTTACTTCTTTTTGTCATTCCAAGTAAGAGCAAAATTAAGAAAATGCATTTCAGTTATTGTCTCGTGGATTAGTCCCTCTATCATCTAAAAATAAGTTCAAGTCATTTAGTACAGTTTGAAAAAGTTATTGCGTTTTAAAAGGTATTCGAATACTTTCATGAGCTACTGTACATATTTATTTCCTTATGTATGCATCATTTCAAGTTAACGAATGGGAGATTTTTTAAATGTAGCATTGTTGATGGCCTAACGCAGATAGGTATTAAACATACATGTATGATATTGTATATACATATATATTAGGTATTAAATAAATATGGTATTAGTCGACGAAGGAATTTGGTAATTTCGAACTTTTTGATCGATAACAAATTCTTATAAAAATACAAAATGAATTTTTTGGTTAAAATGTAAAATGCAAACGTGATTCTGGCTAAAATAAAGTTTATTAAGCAAAACGGTTTGGTGCATTACAGTGGAAATTCCAATTTTTAGTTGTTCACATATAATAATTCATATATGTATAAAATCGTTATCTCTGTTTTCGCGTTTCTGCTATCACCGGCAAATATGACCACCAACTACCACATTTCGACGAAATATAATGTTCGTTACATTCAGTTATGACGCTATTGAGTTCAATTTACAATAATATCCCGGACACCTTTAAAACGTAATTAGTTTCTTAAATCTGGACTAAATGACTTGAATCTTTTTCAGATGTTAGAATGCCGAATTCACTATACAATGAGTAGAAATTGTTTTGCAAAAATTGCATCTGTTTGGAAGGACGAGAAAGATGATGTTTAAATCTTCGTTATAGGCTCATACAAAACGATTGAAAAGAGACATTACCTTTCAATTGTTTTACCATTCCAAACAAATGTAATTTTTGCAAAAATATGTTTTACTCGTTGTCTACTAGGATCTCAAAAAACTGCAACTTTTAAAAATGTAATTGCGTTTTAAAAGATGTCTGAATATTATCGTTGGCTCACCGAAAGTAAAGAAACGAAGATTGGATTTGAAGCACCTGGATTCCGGGCTATCGTGTACACGTGCACATTGTAAGGAGACAGGCGTAAAAAGAGAGTGGTGAACATACCACACGGAATACTTGTTAGAATGTTTGTACTTTATTGCCCAAAACTTCGATGGTATCGCTAAGATAATCACCGAAACAATACTAGCTAACAATAAGACAATCTCTGGTTCTAAGGACACCTTCTCGTGTCCACTTTCTCTGTTTTTTATTGGAATCTTAACCCTTAGCACTCCGAACCATTCTGGACGTTGGCTATCAGCTACTCGGCGCCACTTTTCGGCAGAAACGGGCATTTACAGACTCTCGTATTATTTAGTATGATTTTGGAACTAACTAACATATTATAATGATATTGGACTTACATGAATTGGCTGAAATCGAGAAATTTGCAAAACAATCAATATTTTATTTTTTATAAATTTGTTATTGTTTGTTTTATAATTTTGTTTTGTTGTTGTAATCGCTATCTATGCGAACTCTTTCTCTCGTCGCCTTGTTGCTTGGACGATATCACTATCACTGCTATCAAAACGATAGACTATCTGTAGAAGAAAACCTTCTACAGTTAGCCTTTCTAACATATCTGTATAAACGTCTATCTGGAGCTCATCTTCACTACTACTTGTCATGAAACTCATTCGTGTTTGAACGTTTTGCCTAATAAAAAAATATGAATAAATACATAGGTTGAAAATTTCTTATTGTTATTACCAACTCACAAGATGATATTTACCAAAAAAACTTTTACCAAACAATTTATTTACCAAGAGAAGAATCACTTTTCCGATTTTCTCACTCG